TAGTATTATATCTAAGTCTTACTGTTGGCCATAGAATAAAGGAAATATAGCAATATGCCTTCTTTGCTACGTAGTGTAATGGATAACTGCTTGGAATGAGAAATTGGAGAGCCGAGTTCGAATTCCAGTCGGGTTCAGCGCAATCACTTACACGCAAATACCCTTGGGAAAAGTACGAATCCATCTCTTTACCCTCCAGGAATGGGTTGAATAGCAAAACCATATGGTAAAAACAGTATATAGTTTATCAGATGTGGTTAGTAAACTACATCCGCGCCCTGGGTAAGACGATAAATTAAATCCAACAGAAAAGTCAGGAGGTTTTGAGGAGCGTGGAACCACCTCTTAATTGCTGGTGTTTCCGGGTTCACCCTGACCCGAGGTGATAACACATGTCAGGGTCTTAACTATTATTTAATATTCAACTATTATTTAATTATTTAACCGCCAAACTGAGGATAAATCACTATGAAAGTGTAAAAATGGGTTTTAGTACCATAAATAACTTGTTAAAAATTATTACCAGCAATACACTTTTGAAATACCAGCAATAAAAATCTTGTTGGCATTAAATTACCCATTGAGGTTGATATGCCGTTAAAGGAAACAAAACAAACAAGGAGGTTTGCATCCTTTAGTCTTGCTTGGCAACGCAAAAAGTAATGGCAACCTAATGCGAGAAAATAGTCTGCCTAGTAACGAAGTAAAAAGAGATGGCCGAAGCATGTATCAGGTATGGCACTTAACTTACTGGTTGAAGTCTTTGTAGTAAATGCATTACCATCGCTAAATAAGGATTCTAGATGGTAGGAGAAGAGACTTTATGACAATCCGTATTTTAGACATTTTCTTTTTTTGTTCGATCCATAAATCTTAATGGCTGATGTCTAAAGACGTGAGAGTTGAGATAAAAGAAAAAAATGTATAAAAATAAGTTGAAAGAAAAACTAGTCAATAATAATGACAAAATGTTAGCTACAAAATTCAAAGACTCATATATTCATATTAAAGTTTATTATCTGTCAATTTTTCAGCATATTATAAACCCATGATGTATTTATATGAATCGATCAATAACTCCGCTTCTCGCTTCTCTTTCATAATAAAACCCTTACTGTAGATTTACAATCTTTTCACTTATTGCTTCTACAAATATAATATCGAAGACGAACCATTAATACTGAAATTGGATTGACCAGATGAAGATGCAATTGAATTATTGGCTTTGTAATTTACTTATTAACGGTTGTACAGTATAGAAATACTTGTGTATCTGTGTTTCGTAGCTTTACGGACGTTTCTGTTTGAATAGACTGTTGGGTCGAGGACGAAAGGAAGTAGACATATGTCTTCTGCGAGCAAGTCCGACATGATCTCGGATATTTTAACTCTTAGAAAACTGGTTAAATAACCAAATCTCGACAAAGAAAATTCCAGAAGTCTCAGGTAAAAAAAAAATCAAATTATTGAAAAGAAAAAAAAAGAAGCACCCCCCCCCAAAAAAAAAACAAACATTTCATCAGTTTTAGGAGATTGTTGAAAGCAGGAAGTGGCATTTCCTGGACTTAACTCTTGAAACATCCCCTAAAAGTGAATCAAGCCCATCCGGAATGTATAAAAAAAAAATAATAATGATATCCTAATTACGTCCAGATTTCGATCACAAGTAAAACGCCAACATTTCGAATGATGATTTTTAAGGCAAGATTCTTCAAATTGAAAACGTAAAGTTCCCAGCTGGAATTTGATGAATTAGATGTCCTGTTAGGATTCATTATTAATGGCCAGTATCTTAACATCATAAGATTTGCAGATGACACCGTGTTGTTAGGAGACACAAAAAGAAAACTACAAAAAATCCTACAGAAGTTAGTGAATTAAAGCGATTTAATATCCTAAAGTAATAAAACGCTGGATGGAACACTACGCCAGTTTCGACCACCATGGTCTCATCAGGTCGTTAGCCATTTGAAAAGATAGCAGTTGACCTTAACAAATCTGGCTACAATTTCAATTTAATAAATGCTAGTTTGATCAAGAGAGAAAACGACAGTAGCCAGCCTATATAAAGTTTGATATTTTTTTAAACGGTGTGAATTACTTTTACCGACCTGCGCATTCCAGAAACTTAATAAAGTGCTTTGTGGTAGGATTCGAACTTAATCACTTCGTTGTAGAAGAAGTCACTGACATGCACTGAAATGTTCAGTGGCCGAGATAGATAGATAAATATATAGAGCTAATGTCCAGATCGATAGACAATAGATAATGACCACTGCAATAGATTAATAGATATATAATGGCCAGTGTGATAAATAGATTACCTAGACGTTAGCTATGTATGTATATATCTCTGTCACCAGTGATAGATAGATAGATAGATAGATAGATAGATAGATAGATAGATAATGAACAGTGATGTATGGTTGGATAAATGGATTGTAAGATACATAAATTACCACTGATAGACAGATAAATAGATAGCCAATGACCCGTTTGATAGATAGATAGATAGATAGATAGATAGATAGATAGATAGATAGATAGATAGATAGATAGATAGATAGATAGATAGGTATTGAGCAATGTGATAGATGTTTGGATAGATGGATGGATAGATACGTAAATAAATTCCCACTGATAGATAGATAAATAGAGTGCTAATGACCAGCTTGATCGATAGATAGATCGATCGATCGATCGATAGATATTGAGCAGTGTGATGAATAGTTATTATAATGGATGAATAGATACATAAATTACTACTGATAGATAAATAAATAGAGATCTAATGACCAGTTTGATAGATAGATAGATAGATAGATAGATAGATAGATAGATAGATAGATGAAAATGGACTGGACACGAACAGATAGATAGATAGATAGATAGATAGATAGATAGATAGATAGATAGATAGATAGATAGATAGATATGAAAAGAGTGACGTAGATAAATATCTTGAACGGATAGGAAAATGTAGACCGGGAAAACAGAGCCAGTGTAAATTAATGAGGAATGTGTGAAAGAATAATCGATTTGCAATGTTGGACGTAGAGTGATAACACTGATGTGGAAGTGAAAATGAAAGGAAACACATTGTCTAGGCTGGGCCTTTTTTTCATGTGAAACGGACGAAGCATCCTTGCAAGGAAGACGTAGTTTTGGCAGTCATCTTAATCAATAATGTCTAGCCATTTAAATCAGCAACACGTCAATTTCATACTCTTCTCCTGTCTTGCTTCATACACACAAGCAGAAATATATGACCTAAAACGAAATACACACATACAACAACAGGCTTAGTTTCTTGTGATTCTATCTATCTATCTATCTATCTATCTATCTATCTATATATATATATATATATATATATTCCTATTCAGTAAATCTCTATCTAGACAGGTACATAGGACTTGTATTGTGATATATATATATATATATATATATATATATATATATATATATATGTATGTATGTATATATATATATATATGTGTGTATATATATATATATATATATATATATATATATATATATATATATATATATATATATATATATATATTGATCTGTGCGTGAGGAGGCATAATGTGTCAGATTTTATTACGCATTTCTCACTTATGGAATAAGATGTATCTTCGGATGGAAATTGTCGATAGAGTATTCAAAATTAACGTTCTGTTGCCCTGTTCAAGTATAAATATATACATAAATACGCACACTGACAAACACATACATATATATTTGCTAGTACTATAATAAGTACGTACACACACATACACACATACACAACACTCACAAACACATACATATATATTTATTAGTACTATAATAAGTACGTACACACACACACATACACACATACACAACACTCACAAACACATACATATATATTTATTAGTACTATAATAAGTACGTACACACACACATACACACATACACAACACTCACAAACACATACATATATATTTATTAGTACTATAATAAGTACGTGCACACATGCACACACACACACATATATATATATTGTGTACTTAGGCAGCAATCCTTCATTTATGCATGTTTCATTTAAAACGACAGACAAGTTACTATGGTTAAGCTTTTTATTTAATTTTTTGTGTTCGCAAAAGTGCTTTCTTTTTTGAACTCAGAGTGTGTAGAAATTGTCCAAATGTTCTATCGTTCCGAGCACTTTCGGCTGTATTTTTAGCCATTATCAAAGATAATTTTATTTTTTTGGTTTAATTGATTGTGTGCGTTATGTGTATGTTTTTGGTGTGTTATAGATGTATTTTTTTATTTTCCAAACACGGTTAGCACATTGTAGCCTTGTTCGTAGTTAATATTGTTAAGTGTTGGCTTTTACTTTATTATTATTATGCCTTTCATAATTTTTAATCTTTTATTTTTACAGGTGGATGAATTTATTATG